GAGTACTCGTATTTCTATTTTGAATGGCTGTATGTATATATGTATATTTGTATGTATGTAATATATATTCCTAGATTAGCCGGTTTCTGCCAGATTTGTTTACTTCAATTTACTATACTCATATGTAGGTTGCTTATATTATTTTAATTAGAATTTTGTACTAAAATAATTTAAAAGTTTATACTGAAAATACATACATATATGTAAAGTGTATACTATAATGCATACATATGCATATTATATGTGTTTGATTGTAAGGTCGTTACATTTTATTTTATTAATTTTATTAATGTGAATTTAATATGTCAATAAATAAATAAAAATATTGATTTATGAAAATCAAGTAGCCTCCAATATTAACACTGAGTAACTGAAAAACTGATAAAAATATTGAAGGTTTACACAATTACACAAAATGTCGTAAATTTTTCTTTTGTTACTTTAAACGCTATTACCGATATGGAAATATTTAAATGTGTTCAAGCGAAGGATTATGAGAACATCCAAGAAATACTGACATATATACATTATTTTGCAAATGCGTTACACTAATTGATTCAGAGATTACGTTATCAATTTGCAACTGCAGCATGGCAACCGATTTCTTTTAAAATAACCACTCACTCATTCAATCGAACTAAATGCGATCTCTGATTTTTGTTATATTGAATTATACAATAATACGTATCGTAATAAATGCTATTAATTATAATAAATGCCAAATCAATTATTATGATATTAATTGTAATAAACGCAACTAGTTGCTGTTACAGTCGAATTTTAATATTCAAGTCAATGTGAGACTCTAATCCGCTAAAACCATCTTTAAAAGAATGATGTAGTGAAAAGATCCATGTGAGTTAAAGTCCAATATAACGCAAGTCCAATATAAGAAATCCATTTGATTTCAGAAAACGTATATAAGATATGCATACTATATAAATTATCTATATAAATTTATATAGTATGCGAACTCATTTAAGCAAAACTACAAAGTTACTTACTTAAGTTATTATTAGTTCTTCCTTAGAAAATATGGTTATTAATAATCTCTGTGATCAAGAGATTAAGTTATTACGAAGTAGTGCCACGAAAAAATATCGGCAGGTTGATGATCTTAAGCACGAAATATATATACCGGACAAGATTTAATAAATATTCACTATATTTTAAAACTATGTGAGAAGCCATATTTATAGAGGATTTTACTCTATAAAGCCTTTAGATTTATATAACCCAAATTCTAGAGGTTTCGAAAATAGTGAACTACAATAAAAAATTTTTTTTATAATGTTATTTTAATTAATTGAATTTTTAGCTAACTCTACAGCTGTTTGAGAGTATTGCCAAATATTCTAAATTCTTAAATATGAATATGTTTTGAAGGAAGTTTTCTATAGAATACACTCCTACTTATTGGACACAATATTAAAAACACTCCTTTCTTTCAATATTTTTTATTTTTGTTGTTGGTCCATATGAAGGCGTATATGTAAAAAAATATTGTAGTAAGTATAACTTATGGAAATACTAAGTTTACCGAGCAATTAGTTTATTACTTATTTAAAAATATATCAAGAAATAAAAAAATGTGTAAATGTACTCTATAATTATTTTAAATTCAAGTCGGTGTTAATGGTTTATATTAACATTTTTCTGCTACTGTAATATATGGTACACTAAATTAATTGATGGACCTCGATACTACTAAATGGACTGTCATATAGACGACTTATATGTTTATGAAACTTTTCCTTTTTATAACAGTTGTAGAATGTTCGAAGATTCGAGTAAACTTGAACATCTTTACTGTCTTATATAATCATAAGAAACAAAGATCACAGAAGTTTTAATCAAGCCAACAATTCCATACGCATGTCTCTGATAATTTTCGTAATTCTGAACTTTCTTCACCTTCGAAAAACATTAGCACACATTTTGCACTTTGTAGCATCTTCTATTTTATTGATAAGAACCCAAACACAAAAAGTACAAATATATCTCTTAATTAGTACCAGTAGACTATTTCTCATACAAAGCCAACCAAAAAATAAATAAATTTAAGAATCTGACAAAATATGTTTTACGAAATATATAATATATGTATATTAACAATAAAAATATATATACACATATAATTATTAACCTAATCTTTTAAACAAAAACATAAATAAAATACTGGCGCAAGCCAGTTATTTTATTAAAATAAATATTTGAGTTTACATAAATTTAATAAAAAAAAAAAAATGAACTTAATAGATTTCAAGGAATTAGTAATGACCTTCACAATTTCATTAATCATATGTTTATATAAGAGGTATTAAAAATTATTAAAAGAGCTCAGGATCATGGTCAACAATTACTACACACAAAAAAATCTTGTTTCAATTAAATATTATTGTGATCTATAATATATTTCGTACCTTGAATTTAGTTCTATATACCAACAGCTTTCGTTTTAGAAGCCGTTCGTTTTGTTTGCATGTACAGACCACCAGTCACCACTCCTGTTTCTTTTTATAGATTTAGACTACGTTTAATAATATATAATTGTTTCTATGTTTATTGGGAAGAGATAACTACGATTTTTAACTTATGATTTTCAAAAATCACACATTTACACGGTGATTAACAGTCTACAAAAGTTTTGAACATTTATATTAATTATCTGAAGAAATGCCTAAAGCTGTGTTCTGTGCTGCCAGTTTGGAATGTTGAATGTAAGTGAACGTCACTGCACCGGGAAGCGTATGTGACAAAGCGCTGTCTATATCGCTGTCGCTTAGTTGATTATTCGCTAACCACGGGTGAGGAGTTGACTTCCTTTGTTTCGACCGCGAATTGCTTTTTAGATTCTTGAGTTCTTGCTTTTGTCATTGATGTCAAGTATCCAAGAGGCGCAAGAAGGAGAAGCGGTCTTGCTGGTTTACTGGAACGCATATACTAGTGGTTTATGGTCGGTAAATATGATGAACATGCAACTCTTTAATGGATATCTGAAGTATTGAATCTTGCTGGTTTACTGGAACGCATCTACGAGTGGTTGCGATTTTAACTTTTTTGGGTAGAACGGTAATGGCTGGTACTCTCCATCAACTATTTGCTGGAGTATAATACCCATTGCATCGACGGAGGTATCTGTTGTGAAAGTTAACTTCGCATCTGATGCCATGCAGTTGGGGAAGGCGACCAAATGATTTTCTTCTTATTATTAGTTTTCTTATTATTATAGCTTCCAGACATAATTGCTGCTTATAGGGGTGAAGATTGCGTCTAGTTACTGGTATTCACCGCCCTCCTAGATTCTGCCTACTTTCTATGGCAAGTCGGCGAGATCTATGTTAGTTGCCTTTAATATAGCACGGATCTAGGGCGGCAAAGGTTGGGGCCATAGTGAATTCAGAAATTCGATATTTAGACGATTCTTTTATAAATGTATCAACTTACTTAATAGCCGTGTGGACGCTTGCTACCAATCTCTACTTCAGATAACAGATAACAATTCATCTCAATGGTCTGTCTTTTTAAGTTTTTATATCTTTTTGCTGATAGCGGAGATAATACGACGTCTGTGATATCGGCCATACCATTTGATTCCACTACGGCAATTAAGTTAAATTTAGTCAGATCCTTGTTAAAATACGTTTATAATAACACATACTGGAGTTAAGCAAGAATGTCCACTTTCACCCATGTCAACATTTGCCTTTTGTCACAAACTACAATACCCATGCCATACCCATAAATATATATATATGTACGTATATATACTGAATAGCTTAACCGCTCTTATCATTAAGTAAAAACATAAAAAAACGTGTCAATTTTCAAAATTTCACATAATTTATTTTGAAAAAACAAATATTTTTATTTACTGATTCTTAACCCAAAAGTGCAATTTAAAATTATTTATAAATTTTATATATTAATTATCTCTAATTTGTACACACATTTCATTCAGACCTCAAGAGTTTTTATGATGCTTTTGGTCACGTACACACATAGAGCTTCATTTGTTTACGTTAAAATTTAATAATATTTATTATTTTTTTCAGGAACATGAGGGTTTTGGAAATACATAAATAAATAAGTTTTTTAAAATTCTGTGCTATATATAATATATCATAATAAATAAATATTCTATAATTCTGTAATTAAAAATATTATTGTTAAACAGTGGTATTTATCTACGACAAGTTTTAAATAAAAAGTATTCTCATAGGATTCCAGAAGAAATCAGTCTTTAATTCGAGATCTCGAATAGGCATGTAGAAACGAAACCTCGTAGTAGATGACAGCCGGGAAGTGACACAGAAAATGTGTACTGATTATCTTCAATGCCGTATTTTTTACTAATGGAGTAATTAGATAGTCTACCTACAAGTATAATAATTCACTTGGACAGTAAGTTTCTTTGTTATATCTGATTTTAGGTGAGATATGTCAATAAATTCCTTTATGAAATGTAATGACATTTCAGTATTTTTATCTTTTTCTATTGAATAGAATTGTATAATTCTACGATTAGACTATCGTTCTTAACTCATTTATGTATCTGATAGCGTGTATGGTTTAGTCAATTTGCCATACAAAATCCATACAAAGTCTATGCAAAGACGTGCGCGATAAACAGGTACCTTTATTTTAATATTGTTGATTAAACAAATGCTGACTTGTGGCAGGAAAAGCAAAACAAATTTATTTTTTTTTTTTGACTGTTAGTTTAACTATAATAATTTAAGTCTAAACACTTTTTTAGAGAAATTGCGAATTGCGAAGATAAATGATTTTGCAAATGCTATTAAAATGTATTCAATGTATTAAGATATTTTAAATAACTACTGTTTTTCCATTAAATATAATTTTTATTTTCATTGCGAATAATGCGAAATTAGTTAAATAAAAATATTTTAAATATTGTAAGGCTTTTGTATTTTTAAAAGAATTGAAAATTTTTTGTTGGTAATACCCCAGTTGACATTGTCTGAAATGTACAGTACAAAGTCAAGTAATTTACGAAAGGGAGTAGCAAATAAATGAAAATTAGCACAGCCGGCAAAAGAAACAAGTGCATGTAGTTTTAAAATTTGTTTGGAATCTACATTTTTGATTATTATAACAATTTTTGATAAAACTTCTTATTTTAAATTAGTCAACTAATATTCGACGAGATGTCTTTGCCGCGGCGAACAAAGCAGTCAGATCCCGTTTGCTTGAATTTTCATGAGAGTTGCTTGCGTATGTCCGATGTACAGTTGTTGCAAGGACCACACTGGCTTAATGATCAGATCATCTCATTCTATTTCGAATACCTAGAAAGAGTTAAGTACAAAAATAATTCAGAAATGTTATTTGTCTCACCTGAAGTAACTCAATGTATGAAGCTCGTGAGTGAAGATGAATTAACAACGTTATTAAATCAATTGGATGCTGCATCTAAAATGTTTATATTGTTTGCATTAAATGACAATACCACGACACTAGCAGGTGGTACGCATTGGTCATTATTTGCTCTTTCAAGACCAGAGAAAACATTCTTTCATTTTGATTCGCATAGCAATCAAAACTCTGAAGCGGCACACCAATTTATGCAACAAGTTAAAGATGCGCTACATTGTAAGAAGTTTAATTTGAAATCAGTGAAATGTTTGCAACAAGTAAGAAACAGTTTTTTATTTGTTGTCATTTTATTTGATATTGTTTTTATAATCGTAGGCAAACAGTTATGACTGCGGTATTCATGTACTATGTATGGCTGATAACATTGCTGATCATGTTAACAGATTCGAGTGTATAGAAGATGTCGCTTTGTTGCATCAGGATGCAGTTAAAGGCAAACGTTCTGAATTATTAAAATTAATACACACTTTAGGTGGGAAATTGGGTTAAAAATAATTAAACATATATTTGTTAAAAAACAAAGAAATCATGTAGTTTAGAGAAACAATTTGTTACTAAGTTTATAATACATAAAGAAACACAAATAAATAAGAAATTAGTATTAATACAAAAATTTGACGTTAAAGTTCATATGTTGATATAAACAGATTTTTGACACGGTATTAGTAGTACGGAACGAATATTTAAGCTTACACTAGTTCTTATGTAGCTTGTTTAATGTACTCTTTGAACGTGCTGAGCCACGGTTAATATAATAATATGTTGGCAATTATTTATTGTGCACAAACAGCCATATTTGCCAGTCCAAATTTAATATGCGTAGTGTAATCGTCATCAGGATTTTTAGTCTAATAAACAAGTTGCTTCAGAATTACAAAACAACAAGTTGCAAGTTGCTTGGACAACAAAAATATATTGCTGTTAACAGTTATCAAAAAGTGTATGTAGTTGCTACTTGACACTAACCTAGATTTAACCAATAGCAAACAAAGCTCAACAAGGACCATCACTTTGAATTGTTTTGTATACATATTTCCGTAAGTATAAACTAGTTAAGTGTATAGAACCACTCTCATAAGTTGATTAATATTAGGGAAACTAGCAGAAAATAAAATAAAATTATTCAGTTTTATAAAGCATTACACAAATTTATTTTATAAATAATATATCTTACATATTTTTAAAAATTTCATAAAAACAACTATTAAACCTGTATAAACTTACATTTATATTTAATAAAAAATCTTATAAATTGGTTATTGGCTTTTAGGCACAAAATATATTGTTTGAATGTTACATTTCTCTATAGGAATATATAAATCGGTGTATATATTTATATAAATATTTTCACGTTACCAACATGACAAGTCTAAAATTTGTTTAGTTATTGTTGAAAAACGAATTAAATAAATATATGACGTTATGCGCCTAAAAATTCTAAATAGTAATTTTTTTTGGAATTTTTAAATAATTAAGTTGATATGGATATATTTTATTTACAGGAACAAAAATGAGTTCTGTGTATAATAGATGGTATAATAAAATCGAAAAAAAACTATATTACATATATAAACATTAATCAATGTAAGTAATTACATAATTTATCTGTACGACTTGAATTTTAAATTTGATATAAAGTATATGTTATAAGTTTAAAATTTAAAAAAATATTTTACAATAAAATTAATTCTAATTTTCATACAAAAATAAATTAAATTGCGACAAAATGCAATTGTATTAAATACATAAATTGAATTTACAAATCACAAATAATGTGTGTCTTTTAAACACATAAATTTTAGTTCTGTTACGAAATTAAAGTTTCTTATTTTAGTTTTGCTGGTATTGATTAATTAATTTGTATTTCTGGTTTTGCCCAACCACCAAAAGCACGTTCCAGTTCCTCTGCCACTGCTAAACATAAA